AACTAAAAGAGGGTGGCGCCACTGAAATTCCTCTGTCTCTGGCGCCCACCAAGAGCTGGGCATGAAGACACTCCTCTTTGGGTGCTGAGGCGGCTGGTGCTCAGGTGAAGGGAGAGCAGGTGACAAGGGGGCCTCTTCACGGTCGCATCCTGCACTGAGGGGTCCAGGCCATGCTGAGGAGGCTGAGCCTGAGTCTGCCACATGGCCGCTGGGGGGCACCCTGCCCACACCTGGCAGCTTCCTTCCTCCCTCTGGTGCCCTCTGGGCTTCTTTCCATTTTCTGTTGCGTTGATGGAGTTTGGGGCATCCCCGGCCTACTGCCCAAATCATGGCCCAGTTTGGGACGGGGAAACTGGTAGGGCTGGTGTCGGCCTCTAGCATCCTTGGGTTGCTGACGGGAAGCAGGAAGTGTCCAATAATGTAAACCAAAAGGAGAGAGAAATGTTTTCAGAGATGCTGGAAAGAGTGGTTTATTGTTATATTAGCCCACTGCAGTTCAGCTTGAAGGAGATTTGCCCCGTAAAGATGATTTTGAGCTGCTGATAGAGGAACAAAGTGAGATAAGCCCTTGAAGCCAAAATGTGTTGTACAAAATATAAAAATAAACCACCATCCCCCCCCGCATCTTTGAGAAACCTTTCTCTTTCTTCTTCTTCTTCTTCTTTACATCCTGCCAGGGCCCAGCGCTGGGGCCAGAGCTGAGGGTGTCCTGCTGACGCCTGGCCCAATTCTCCCCACCCCACCTTAAAAGTTTCCTTCCATGGCCCAGCTCAGGGCAGCTGCACCCGGACCCCCATTTAATTCCCCACAATGCCCCTGACCTAACATCACGCTGGGGCATCGTGGGAATTTTAAAGGGTGGATAGATCTGGAGCAAGGGACGCGGGTGGCGCTGTGGGTAAAACCTCAGCGCCTAGGACTTGCCGATCACATGGTCGGCGGTTCGAATCCCAGCGGCGGGGTGCGCTCCTGTTGCTCGGTCCCAGCGCCTGCCAACCTAGCAGTTCGAAAGCACCCCCAGGTGCAAGTAGATAAATAGGGACCGCTTACCAGCGGGAAGGTAAACGGCGTTCCGTGTGCTGCGCTGGCTCGCCAGATGCAGCTTGTCACACTGGCCACGTGACCCGGAAGTGTCTGCGGACAGCGCTGGCTCCCGGCCTCTAGAGTGAGATGAGCGCACAACCCCAGAGTCTGTCAAGACTGGCCCGAACGGGCAGGGGTACCTTTACCTTTACCTTAGATCTGGAGCCAGCCCAAGAGAGGACACATTGCCCATGGACCCCTCAAACCTGCGGCCAGGTTTCTGGGAACTGGTCCTGCTTCCCTGGCTGGACGCTTCTCCTTGACCAGCCACATGCTGTGGTGCATGGTCAGCTGAGCCTCCAGCACAGTGACATTGGGACGTGTTGTGGCAGAGGAGAGCCAGTGACCAAGAGGTGAAAGGGGTCAGGCCACTTCAGAGGCTCCTGGGCACTCACCTGCCACCCCCAACTCAAAAACTGTCCCCCATCGGAGTCTCGGCTTGGGGTGGGGCATCTCAGCAGGGCTTTCCACCTCTCGTGTAACACTGGAGCCCAGCAGGATCATCCAGTGAAGCTGAATGTTGGGAGATTCCGGGCAGAGGAAAGAAAGCCCTTCTTGCCACAGGGCAGAAGGGGGAAGCAAAGGCCTTCGCTCCCAGAGGCAGTGATGATGGTCACCAACTTGGATGGCTTTAAAGGCGATCAGACAGATTCAAAAAGGATCAGGCCACTGATGGCTACCAGATCCTGAGGCCACGATTCCTGCATTGCAGGAGGTTGGGCTAGATGACTCTTGGGGGTCCCATCTAACTTTATGATCTCTCCACAGCTAGAAGCAGTAAGTGCCTCTGCATAGCAGTTTCTGGGTTCACAGCCTGCAGGAGAGCGCGGGAGCTGGGTGGAGACCCTTCAGGGCTTGCTCTGGCAGCGAGTCAGACCCTTGGTTCCTCCAGCTCAGTGTTGCTGGAGTCATAATAATATTAACAATATTAATTCTTATTCTTAATTTATTATTTATACCCCACCCACCTGGCTGGGTTTCCCCATTGCCTCTCGTACTTGAATATGCCTTTGGGGACTGAACCCTCCACAACAACATTGTTTCAAGGCATGGATTATCAAGGAGCTTTGTGAATTTTGCACAGAATGACAGCAAAACCATCAAGAAACCACAGAAGAGCTGTGTGGACAAAGAGGCAACCTGTGATTCAGTGAAACGGATTATGAGGCTCCGAAGCTCTCCATGCCTCTGAGCCATGTTTTCCCTCATGCCAGTGCTGGAAAAGCTCCTTTTAGTGACAACCAATCTCTCCCCCCCCCCCCCCGAAATGCAAAACTTGAAATCAATCTTTGCCCATTTTTCAATGCCTCAGGGTGGAGAGGGACAGAGAGCACCTGAAATACAATTATTTAGAAATTGCCATCATCTGTGCAGTGGGTCTTTAAGGTTCAGCCAAAAGCATTTGACGGTGGTTGTGTGTGCAAAGTAGTTTCATCATTTCATGAGATTCTGTTTCGCTGTCTCCCGACTCTTGTGGCACCCCTCTTTCTTCCTCCTCCCTCCCTCCATATTTCCTCCATCCGCTACCCCCGGTTTCTCAGTTTGCCTCTGCATGGTTCCATCCTTATTTCAGACACTGTGATGTATTGGCATATTGCAGTGTTGATAGATCACAATCTTGAAAGCCAGCCATTGCCCGGCCCTCCCCAGTTCACTCCCCTTTCGCCCCAACACTCACTGCTCAGGTGCCAGTCTGAGGCTTGAGAAGCCCATAGAGCTGAATCAGGAAGGGAAGGGAAGGCCTCCCTCATGAGCCCAGGAGAGGAAGATGGTTTGGGGTACAGGTGGTGATCTCTGCTCAGCGGCGTAGCGTGGGTTGTGAGCACCCGGGGCAAGGCAAGTAATTTGCGCCCCCTAACCCCTAACCTGCCGCCGCTGCCAGCTTCTTCTTGCTGCTGCCTGGGCTGGGGTATTTACGGTAAGGTAGCCATGGCGGCGGTGGCGGGTCCGTGTCAGGTGATCTGAGGCGAGTTGCCGCTGGCGCTGCCGCCCAAACGACGCCACTTGCCCGGAGGAGGAGGGCAGAGAGGCGAGGAAAATGCAACATGGCCCAGCAGCTGCAGCAGCGGCGGCAGCGGCGGGGCTGTGAGGAGGGGCTGCCTGGCGCGCCCTCCGCGGCCCTGACGTGCGGGGACCGCAGCGAGCGCTGAGAGCTGCTGCCAGCTACAGCCTGCTCCTGAGGCTCTTTGGTGACTCCGGAGGCGGTGAGCGCGCCCCCCCAGATGTTGCGGCCGGTGCGGCCGGCCCCCCCTGCACCCCCCACGCTACGCCACTGTCTCTGCTGCCTCTTTCTCCATCTAGGCACCTCGCACTGTGGACTCCACCAGGCTTAACCCTCAGGAGGAAGGCAGTTAAGGCCTCCGTGGAAGTCTGCAGTCTCTGTGGCCCCTGCCAGCCAGGCTGCTTGCCAGGGCTGATCCTTGCCCGATGTCTGGATTTCCTCTGCCTCCAGGGTCCCGGTTCTGACAGATTCGTCCCACAGTCTGAAATGGTAGCTCTCGGCCCTAAGGCAGGGGTGAGAGGCCAACAACACGTCAAGAGCTGGTGGGACCCAGTCACCGCCCTGTGGCAGCCGTGGGTCAAGGGGAGCTTGGCTTCCCCATTGCGGACACTGGCTGTGGGCTTCCTGGCTGGTTGCTGCTGCCGCTGCCTTTCTGAGATGGGGTGCACAGAGGGACCCCCCAGCCTGGGCAGGAAGCTGCTCTTCTCTATCAGGGCTGTGGTTGGGTGAGGGACGCTTCAGGTTACAGACTCCGCTAACCCAGAAATATTACCTCGGATTAAGAACTTTGCTTCAGGATGAGAACAGAAATCGTGCTCCGGCGGCGCAGCAGCAGCAGCAGGAGACCCCATTAGCTAAAGTGGTGCTTCAGGTTAAGAACAGTTTCAGGTTAAGAACAGACCTCTGGAACAAATTAAGTACTTAACCTGAGGTACCACTGTAATGAGTTTCAGTTCTTTTCCTAATGATCCATTTCCTAAGGAACCCACACACTGAGAGTTGATGACTTCATCAAGGTACCCCCTGTGATCCCAAGGTCTCATTCCTGGTTTGCTGCCACCAGTTTGCTGCCACCTCAGGAGCGCATAGGTGCAACTGAGATTTTTTGCCCCAACATGCATCACTTTACACTTGTCAGCTTACCTCCCATGAGCTCAGGGAGCTCAAGCCCCATTATGCCACTTGGACAGTCATGGCTTCCCCCAGGGTGCTGGGAATTATAGTTCTTCAAGAGGTTGCCTAACATAGGGGTAGCCATTGTGGTGCCCTCCAGATGTTGTTGGAATACAATTCCCACCTTCCTTGACCAATGGCCATGCTCATGGGCTGATGGGAGTTGTAGTCCAACAACATCTGGAGGGCACCACGTTGGCTACCCCTGCCCTAACCACTCTCATGACCTTATACTGCACTGGTTACGTTGACTGCCTGCTTTATTCCAACTCAGTTTTAAGCACTGTTGACCTTTAGCTTTGGGACTAGGTTATTTGAAGGCCTTCCTGGGCTTGTCAGAGCCTGCCCTGACCATGAACTTGACCTCAGAGGGCCTCTGCTCACAGGTTCAGCTGTCCAGACCCATCGGCCCAGGGGGCAACAGAGACAGGCAATGTACGAGGAAGGGCCCATGAGCTTTCAAATAGGCCTTAAAAGGTTTCAGCCAGCTTTTCATTAAGCACACTGTGAGCTGGGCTATATATTGTTTTAACTGCTGCTGGTTTTAATTGGGTTGTTTCTATGTATATTTAAGACTTATTTCAAGTTTTTCATGTTTTACGTAAGCTAGATTGGGAGGAGGACTTTGCCTATAAATACTAAATTCTGGAATGAATGAATGAATGAAACTGTCCATCTTTAGGAGACTGAGAAACAATGGATCTTCAGAAGAAATGTCAATGCAGCCACATAGCCCTACAGAGAGTTTTAAAGTTGTCCTTTATTGTTAGCAGAAACAGTCAAGCTGAGTAGTTGCTCTGTGACATCCTTCCAGTGTCCTTTCTCATGAAGGACCCGCTCTGGAACTCGTCACAGAATGGAAGGGCCTTTGGACCTGGGCTCACAGCTTCAGCCCACTTGCAATGTTTCCAGGGCAGGTGCTGCAACCCCAGGTGTGGAAGAAACAAAGATCAGTGAAAATTGAAGCCAAGTTTCCTATGGTCCCCACAATCTACAGGGAAAAAGCAGCACTTGACCAAAAAATGGATGGATGTGGAAATCAAGTATTCAGCCCAAGTCATTTCCCACTGTGAACTCCACAGACCAGCTTAAGAGATTCTGAAGGGGGTGGGGGGAGTAACATTCTGCTTCTGAGCACTCTCAATGCACCCTCAAGTCACGAATAATTCACTCTTGTCCTTGGTTGCACCATCCTTGAGTAGCCACCAGTGGTGATGGAGACCCCTCTGTTTCATGCAGAGATTGCCTGAAGTCACACACCCCATGCCTTTCAGGGCACACAAATGTTGCCAAATAGAAACCCGGAGTAGAATTTCCTAGAAAGTCCCTGAGGTACTTGCCACATTTAGGAGAGTGCTGTATGAGCAGAACTTCTTTCAGTTGTGACTGGCAGTCCAGGGAAGAAGTCCAGATGCTCAAGACAAGAATTGCCCCAGGCCCCCCACCAGTGTGCAAATGCAGCAGTAGAGAACGGAGAGAAACAAGAGCATGAAGAACTCTCTCAAAAGGTCACAGCGGATGAAGGGCTTCCTGATGACAGGGCCCGTCCTTGGTGTGCTTGTGAAGGAGAATGTTGGTTAAGGATGGAGGCTGGAGGAGGGGGGCAGGCAGCCTTTGGTCAGAGAGAGACGAACGAGCCACCGGCCTTTGATGACTCACTTGGCTATGAGTGGGCACCCTGGTCCTTCCAACATACTTTCCCTTTTCTGCAGGACGTTTTTCTGTTGTGCTTCCCATGCTTGCTTTCAACCTCATCAATCATGGCAGTGATGGTGGATATCATTTCTTGAATGGACAGTGTCCCTGCTCTGTACAGTTCAAGGAGCTCTTGCCTTTTATCTTGAGGGACATACTTAGAAAACAGAAGATCCAGCACACACACCTTTTGCCCCTTGTACTCTCCGGCAGTCACGTGGACCATAGTTGTCCTCAAGGATTTCCTCAGCTGCTGCTGCCGTGCATGTGAATCGACGTGTTCCTCCGTGAGGCTGCCCTCTGCACTTGCTGGCTGATCTCTGTCACACTTTTCCATTTTGGTGATGATGTTGGTGAGAATGCCTATCAGTTCCTGCACAGAGAGCGCTTTGGCTTCACATTTGTTTAGAAGTTCCTGCTTCTTCTCCTCTGAGATGTATTTGGAGGAGAGGAGATTCCAGCAAGACACCATCTGCCCTTTGAACTCTCCAACTGGCACCACAAAACTCTCAGAGCGTAGCATGTTTTCCAAAGAAGAGGAAGGGGAGAGGCAAACGTTCTCATCTCTTTCTGGCAACCGTGTCTCTTGTTTTGGACTTGCAACACATCCAGAGTCAGTGACTTTCTCCTCCTCTGTTCTGTTGATGATTGAAGTCACAACGGTTTCCATTTGGTCAATGGTGAGGATGCCAGATTGGTACAGTTGCAGCAGCTCCTTCCGTTTCTCCTCGGGGATATAATGAGAATGGAGCAGATCCCACAGTGATATATGGGGCTCATGGAATTGACCAATGGATACGTTTACCAGTCTGGATTTCAAAGAATTCTGTGTTTTCTCTTGGTCTTCTGCCTGAGAAGTGTCAAGTGTTCTGGGTGGTTTAATGTCTTCAGTGGGAATTTCCTTACTTCTGCATGGTGTGCCACTACCCATTGCGGGTTCTGTAATAAGTGTAGTGATGCTTTGAATACTTTCTTTAACGCTTACTGTTGGTGCTCCATGTCTGTGTACAATCTCCTCTTTCCTGATATTAGAGACAAACCGTGAAAAGAAAGGATCCCAGACGGAAGCCTTTTGACCATGGACTTCTCGTATGGTGACATCAATATTTTTAAGGCGCAAGGTGTGCTGGAGAAGGTCATAGTATGATGACTCTGGAGCTTCAATATCCTTTTGCTCAGTTGTGTCACTGCTAAGATGTGAAGTCCTCTCCGGATGCTCCTCAGTTTTAGTGACAATGGAGGTGGCAACAGTTTCTACTTGGTCAATGGTGAGGATACCAGATTTGTACAGCTTCAACAACTCCTTCTGCTTCTCCTCAGGGATGTATTTGGAGTGAAGGATGTCCCACACAGAAAGTTTCTGTCCACAGAACTCACCTATGGTGACTTCCACCATTCGGGATTTCAGAGCTTTTTCCTTTTCTTCCCATTCCAGAAGTGATGCTTCTTCTGTCCCAGATGAAGACATGTCAGCAGCTGATAGATTATCTGCTGGAAATTTATTACCTTGCTCTGACATTTCAGTAATAAGAGTAGAAAGAACAGCTGCCAATTCCTCAGGAGTAAGTTGACAATTTCTATATATGCTTAGAAGCTCTTCTCTTTTGCCCTCTGAGATGTACTGAGAGAAGAGGAGGTCCCACAGGGAGACTTCTTGCCCCTGGAACTCGCCCACATGCAGGACCACCGTGTGATTCCGCAAGGGCTCTTCCCAGCTTCCTGAGGGCGAGTGGGATGCTTCCTTTGTTTTCTCCTCCTCTGTTTTGTTGACGATGGCGGTGACTACAGTTTCCATTTGGTCAATGGTGAGGACTCCAGATTTGTAGAGTTGAAGCAGCTCCTTCCGCTTCTCCTCAGGGATGTATTTGGAGTGGAGCACGTCCCACACAGAAACCTCCCTTCCGTGGAACGCGCTTGTGGTGACTTTAACCTTCCGGGATTTCAGAGCCACTTCTTTTTCTCCCAGTTCTGGCGCGTCCATCTCCTCTTCATCATCATCATCATCGTCTTCTTCCTCCTCCTCCTCCCGCTCAGGGTCATCGTTGCTGGTGCTTCTCACTTTAATGTCCAATTTCCTACTTGTGGCTTCCTTTTTTCTGACCAGGGTGGTGAGGACATGGATCAACCGGTCCACTGATATCATCCCTCTCTTGTACAAGTCCAAGAACTCTGCCCTCTTTTCTTCCGTGATATAGTTGGAGAAGAGCAGGTCCCACACAGTGACCGTCTGGCCTCTTTGTGGCCCAGCAGGCATTTGGAGGGTCGTGGACTTCAAGGTCTTCTGCCAGTTCTCTTCGAAGGATGGCTGGGCAGTGTCTGGCTTTGGTGATGTTGCTTGAGGGGTACGTGGAGCGTGTTTGTGGCCTGTCGGCTTGGCGTTCTTTTCCTCTGTCTCGGTAACGGTGGTAACGAGGATGTGGGTGATCTCCTCAAGGGTTAGAGTGCCAGCTTTGTACTGCTTCAGCAGCTCCATCCTCTTATGCGGAGAGATGTATCTGGAGAAGAGGAGGTCCCAGGCGGAGACGTCTTGGCCCTCGAAGAGGCCCACGCCAACCCTGGTCTTGGCAGACTGCAGGGCCTTCTTCGTGCTGTCGTTCAGATAGAAGGAAAAGGAGCCCTTGTCCAACACTTGCAGCATCAACAGACCGGTCTCAGGATCGGGGAGACACCTGTGCCGGAGCTGCAAGTAGGTGAGGTTCTCGTGGGTGTTGGGATCAAAGAAGCCCTTGGTGTCATCGGAGGGATCTGAGAGGACGCGGTTCATTTCCTCGTCAAAGAAGCCCCGCTTGTACGCTACGTTGACGGGCAGGCGATGACTTTGCACTGGGTCGATGATGCCGCCAGTGGCGATCTGAGCCTCCAGCAGGCGGATGCCGTGATCTTTGACGATGAGGCCTTTCTTCATGGCCTGGAAAAGGGAGATCTTGTTCCCCGTGTAGGGGTCGTTGTATCCGGTCACGGCTCTCTCTGCAGAGAGAAGCTTCTCCTTCAGCTCAGCACCCACCAGCTCGGCAGAAACAGCTTCGTCCACAGAGAGCTTCTCGTTCTTCAGAGGGTCCGTCATGAACCCCGTGGCGGCCTGGGCCTCCAGCAGCACCAGGGCGGTGCCCGGCCTCAAGAAGCCTTTCCACATGGCCTGGTAGATGGTCATCTTCTCCGTCTTGGAAGGGTCTGAGCGGGACGGCACGAGAACTCCGGCAATGCAGCTGGTGCCCTCCAGGTATCGCTTCACCGAATCTCTTTCCGTCACCTCTTCCACAGTTTTGGTTCCGTGCGTGAGTTCAGAGAGTGTTTCCTTGTCAATGATTTCCGAGTTGAAGAGCTCCGAGGCTGTCACCTGCCTCCTGAGCCCGGAGAATTTCAGCTTGTTGCTCTTTTCCTCCATCTCCTCAATGAGGATGGTGATTCTTCGCACGAGCTCCTCGCTGGTCAAGGATCCTCCTCGGTACTTCTCCAGGAGTTCCTGCCGTTTCTCTGCGGTCACGTATTTGGAGAAGAGAAGCTCCCATGCGGACTGCCTGTGGCCTTGGAACTCGCCCGAGGGCACCTCCACGGTCACCCGCCGCAAGGCACTTTCCAGTTCTTCCTCGTGCGAAGATGTTTCCCTGCTGGGACTGCGGGGAGGTTCTCCATCTCCACCGTGGCTTCCTCCTGTCTCTGTGAGAAGGGGGGCCAGCGTGACGATCATTTCCTGAATGCTGAGGATTCCCGACCGGTACTTTGTGAAGAGCTCCTCTCTCTGGGCTTCTGCAACGTATTGAGAGAAGAGGAGGTCCCACAGGGAGACTTCTTGCCCCTGGAACTCACCCACATGCAGGACCACCGTGTGATTCCGCAAGGGCTCTTCCCAGCTTCCTGAGGGCGAGTGGGATGCTTCCTTTGTTTTCTCCTCCTCTGTTTTGTTGACGATGGCGGTGACTACAGTTTCCATTTGGTCAATGGTGAGGATGCCGGATTTATAGCATTGAAGCAGCTCCTTCCGCTTCTCCTCAGGGATGTATTTGGAGTGGAGCACGTCCCACACAGAAACCTCCCTTCCGTGGAACGCGCTTGCGGTGACTTTAACCTTCCGGGATTTCAGAGCCACTTCTTTTTCTCCCAGTTCTGGCGCGTCCATCTCCGCTTCTTCATCATCATCATCGTCTTCTTCCGCCTCCTCCTCCCGCTCAGGGTCATCGTTGCTGGTGCTTCTCACTTTAATGTCCAATTTCCTACTTGTGGCTTCCTTTTTTCTGACCAGGGAGGTGAGGACATGGATCAACCGGTCCACTGATGTCATCCCTCTCTTGTACAAGTCCAAGAACTCTGCCCTCTTTTCTTCTGTGATATAGTTGGAGAAGAGCAGGTCCCACACAGTGACCGTCTGGCCTCTTTGTGGCCCAGCAGGCATTTGGAGGGTCGTGGACTTCAAGGTCTTCTGCCAGTTCTCTTCGAAGGATGGCTGGGCAGTGTCTTGCTTTGGTGATGTTGCTTGAGGGGTACATGGAGCGTGTTCGTGGCCTGTCGGCTTGGTGTTCCTTTCCTCTGTTTCGGTAACAGTGGTAACAAGGATGTGGGTGATATCCTCAAGGGTTAGGGTGCCAGCTTTGTACTGCCTCAGCAGCTCCATCCTCTTATGCGGAGAGATGTATCTGGAGAAGAGAAGCTCCCATGCGGACTGCCTGTGGCCTTGGAACTCGCCCGAGGACACCTCCACGGTCACCCGCCGCAAGGCATCTTCTAGTTCTTCCTCGCACAAGGATGTTTCCCTGCTGGGACTGCGGGGAGCTTCTCCATCTACACCGTGGCATTCCTCCTGTCTCTGTGAGAAGGGCGGCCAGGGTGACGATCATTTCCTGAATGCTGAGGATTCCCGACCGGTACTTTGTGAAGAGCTCCTCTCTCTGGACTTCTGCAACGTATTGAGAGAAGAGGAGGTCCCACAGGGAGACTTCTTGCCCCTGGAACTCGCCCACATGCAGGACCACCGTGTGATTCCGCAAGGGCTCTTCCCAGCTTCCTGAGGGCGAGTGGGATGCTTCCTTTGTTTTCTCCTCCTCTGTTTTGTTGACGATGGCGGTGACTACAGTTTCCATTTGGTCAATGGTGAGGATGCCGGATTTATAGCATTGAAGCAGCTCCTTCCGCTTCTCCTCAGGGATGTATTTGGAGTGGAGCACGTCCCACATGGAAACCTCCCTTCCATGGAACGCGCTTGTGGTGACTTTAACCTTCCGGGATTTCAGAGCCACTTCCTTTTTCTCCCAGTTCTGGCGCGTCCATCTCCTCTTCTTCTTCTTCTTCATCATCATCCTTCACTTCCTCCTCCTCCCGCTCAGGGTCATCGTTGCTGGTGCTTCTCACTTTAATGTCCAATTTCCTACTTGTGGCTTCCTTTTTTCTGACCAGGGTGGTGAGGACATGGATCAACCGGTCCACTGATATCATCCCTCTCTTGTACAAGTCCAAGAACTCTGCCCTCTTTTCTTCCGTGATATAGTTGGAGAAGAGCAGGTCCCACACAGTGACCGTCTGGCCTCTTTCTGGCCCAGCAGGCATTTGGAGGGTCGTGGACTTCAAGGTCTTCTGCCAGTTCTCTTCGAAGGATGGCTGGGCAGTGTCTTGCTTTGGTGATGTTGCTTGAGGGGTACGTGGAGCGTGTTTGTGGCCTGTCGGCTTGGCGTTCTTTTCCTCTGTCTCAGTAACGGTGGTAACGAGGATGTGGGTGATCTCCTCGAGGGTTAGAGTGCCAGCTTTGTACTGCTTCAGCAGCTCCATCCTCTTATGCGGAGAGATGTATCTGGAGAAGAGGAGGTCCCAGGCGGAGACGTCTTGGCCCTCGAAGAGGCCCACGCCAACCCTGGTCTTGGCAGACTGCAGGGCGTTCCTCGTCCTGTCATTCAGATAGAAGGAAAAGGAGCCCTTGTCCAACACTTGCAGCATCAACAGACCGGTCTCAGGATCGGGGAGACACCTGTGCCGGAGCTGCAAGTAGGTGAGGTTCTCGTGGGTGTTGGGATCAAAGAAGCCCTTGGTGTCATCGGAGGGATCTGAGAGGACGCGGTTCATTTCCTCGTCAAAGAAGCCCCGCTTGTACGCTACGTTGACGGGCAGGCGATGACTCTGCACTGGGTCGATGATGCCGCCAGTGGCAATCTGAGCCTCCAGCAGGCGGATGCCGTGATCTTTGACGATGAGGCCTTTCTTCATGGCCTGGAAAAGGGAGATCTTGTTCCCCGTGTAGGGGTCGTTGTATCCGGTCACGGCTCTCTCTGCAGAGAGAAGCTTCTCCTTCAGCTCGGCACCCACCAGCTCGGCAGAGACAGCTTCGTCCACAGAGAGCTTCTCGTTCTTCAGAGGGTCCGTCATGAACCCCGTGGCGGCCTGGGCCTCCAGCAGCACCAGGGCGGTGCCCGGCCTCAAGAAGCCTTTCCACATGGCCTGGTAGATGGTCATCTTCTCCGTCTTGGAAGGGTCTGAGCGGGACGGCACGAGAACTCCGGCAATGCAGCTGGTGCCCTCCAGGTATCGCTTCACCGAATCTCTTTCCGTCACCTCTTCCACAGTTTTGGTTCCGTGCGTGAGTTCAGAGAGTGTTTCCTTGTCAATGATTTCCGAGTTGAAGAGCTCCGAGGCTGTCACCTGCCTCCTGAGCCCGGAGAATTTCAGCTTGTTGCTCTTTTCCTCCATCTCCTCAATGAGGATGGTGATTCTTCGCACGAGCTCCTCGCTGGTCAAGGATCCTCCTCGGTACTTCTCCAGGAGTTCCCGCCGTTTGTCTGCGGTCACGTATTTGGAGAAGAGAAGCTCCCATGCGGACTCCCTGTGGCCTTGGAACTCGCCCGAGGGCACCTCCACGGTTACCCGCCGCAAGGCACTTTCCAGTTCTTCCTCGTGCGAGGATGTTTCCCTGCTGGGACTGCGGGGAGCTTCTCCATCTCCACCGTGGCTTCCTCCTGTCTCTGTGAGAAGGGGGGCCAGCGTGACGATCATTTCCTGAATGCTGAGGATTCCCGACCGGTACTTTGTGAAGAGCTCCTCTCTCTGGGCTTCTGCAACGTATTGAGAGAAGAGGAGGTCCCACAGGGAGACTTCTTGCCCCTGGAACTCACCCACATGCAGGACCACCGTGTGATTCCACAAGGGCTCTTCCCAGCTTCCTGAGGGCGAGTGGGATGCTTCCTTTGTTTTCTCCTCCTCTGTTTTGTTGACGATGGCGGTGACTACAGTTTCCATTTGGTCAATGGTGAGGATGCCGGATTTATAGCATTGAAGCAGCTCCTTCCGCTTCTCCTCAGGGATGTATTTGGAGTGGAGCACGTCCCACACAGAAACCTCCCTTCCGTGGAACGCGCTTGCGGTGACTTTAACCTTCCGGGATTTCAGAGCCACTTCTTTTTCTCCCAGTTCTGGCGCGTCCATCTCCTCTTCATCATCATCATCATCGTCTTCTTCCTCCTCCTCCTCCCGCTCAGGGTCATCGTTGCTGGTGCTTCTCACTTTAATGTCCAATTTCCTACTTGTGGCTTCCTTTTTTCTGACCAGGGTGGTGAGGACATGGATCAACCGGTCCACTGATATCATCCCTCTCTTGTACAAGTCCAAGAACTCTGCCCTCTTTTCTTCTGTGATATAGTTGGAGAAGAGCAGGTCCCACACAGTGACCGTCTGGCCTCTTTGTGGCCCAGCAGGCATTTGGAGGGTCGTGGACTTCAAGGTCTTCTGCCAGTTCTCTTCGAAGGATGGCTGGGCAGTGTCTGGCTTTGGTGATGTTGCTTGAGGGGTACGTGGAGCGTGTTCGTGGCCTGTCGGCTTGGCATTCTTTTCCTCTGTCTCGGTAACAGTGGTAACGAGGATGTGGGTGATCTCCTCGAGGGTTAGAGTGCCAGCTTTGTACTGCTTCAGCAGCTCCATCCTCTTATGCGGAGAGATGTATCTGGAGAAGAGGAGGTCCCAGGCGGAGACGTCTTGGCCCTCGAAGAGGCCCACGCCAACCCTGGTCTTGGCAGACTGCAGGGCCTTCCTTGTCCTGTCGTTCAGGTAGAAGGAAAAGGAGCCCTTGTCCAACACTTGCAGCATCAACAGACCGGTCTCAGGATCGGGGAGACACCTGTGCCGGAGCTGCAAGTAGGTGAGGTTCTCGTGGGTGTTGGGATCAAAGAAGCCCTTGGTGTCATCGGAGGGATCTGAGAGGACGCGGTTCATTTCCTCGTCAAAGAAGCCCCGCTTGTACGCTACGTTGACGGGCAGGCGATGACTCTGCACTGGGTCGATGATGCCGCCAGTGGCGATCTGAGCCTCCAGCAGGCGGATGCCGTGATCTTTGACGATGAGGCCTTTCTTCATGGCCTGGAAAAGGGAGATCTTGTTCCCCGTGTAGGGGTCGTTGTATCCGGTCACGGCTCTCTCTGCAGAGAGAAGCTTCTCCTTCAGCTCAGCACCCACCAGCTCGGCAGAAACAGCTTCGTCCACAGAGAGCTTCTCGTTCTTCAGAGGGTCCGTCATGAACCCCGTGGCGGCCTGGGCCTCCAGCAGCACCAGGGCGGTGCCCGGCCTCAAGAAGCCTTTCCACATGGCCTGGTAGATGGTCATCTTCTCCGTCTTGGAAGGGTCTGAGCGGGACGGCACGAGAACTCCGGCAATGCAGCTGGTGCCCTCCAGGTATCGCTTCACCGAATCTCTTTCCGTCACCTCTTCCACAGTTTTGGTTCCGTGCGTGAGTTCAGAGAGTGTTTCCTTGTCAATGATTTCCGAGTTGAAGAGCTCCGAGGCTGTCACCTGCCTCCTGAGCCCGGAGAATTTCAGCTCGTTGCTCTTTTCCTCCATCTCCTTAATGAGGATGGTGATTCTTCGGATGAGCTCCTCGCTGGTCAAGGATCCTCCTCGGTACTTCTCCAGGAGTTCCCGCCGTTTGTCTGCGGTCACGTATTTGGAGAAGAGAAGCTCCCATGCGGACTCCCTGTGGCCTTGGAACTTGCCCGAGGGCACCTCCACGGTCACCCGCCGCAAGGCACTTTCCAGTTCTTCCTCGTGCGAAGATGTTTCCCTGCTGGGACTGCGGGGAGCTTCTCCATCTCCGCCGTGGCTTCCTCCTGTCTCTGTGAGAAGGGGGGCCAGCGTGACGATCATTTCCTGAATGCTGAGGATTCCCGACCGGTACTTTGTGAAGAGCTCCTCTCTCTGGGCTTCTGCAACGTATTGAGAGAAGAGGAGGTCCCACAGGGAGACTTCTTGCCCCTGGAACTCACCCACATGCAGGACCACCGTGTGATTCCGCAAGGGCTCTTCCCAGCTTCCTGAGGGCGAGTGGGATGCTTCCTTTGTTTTCTCCTCCTCTGTTTTGTTGACGATGGCGGTGACTACAGTTTCCATTTGGTCAATGGTGAGGATGCCGGATTTATAGCATTGAAGCAGCTCCTTCCGCTTCTCCTCAGGGATGTATTTGGAGTGGAGCACGTCCCACACAGAAACCTCCCTTCCGTGGAACGCGCTTGCGGTGACTTTAACCTTCCGGGATTTCAGAGCCACTTCTTTTTCTCCCAGTACTGGCGCGTCCATCTCCTCTTCTTCTTCTTCTTCTTCATCATCATCCTTCACTTCCTCCTCCTCCCGCTCAGGGTCATCGTTGCTGGTGCTTCTCACTTTAATGTCCAATTTCCTACTTGTGGCTTCCTTTTTTCTGACCAGGGTGGTGAGGACATGGATCAACCGGTCAACTGATATCATCCCTCTCTTGTACAAGTCCAAGAACTCTGCCCTCTTTTCTTCCGTGATATAGTTGGAGAAGAGCAGGTCCCACACAGTGACCGTCTGGCCTCTTTCTGGCCCAGTAGGCATTTGGAGGGTCGTGGACTTCAAGGTCTTCTGCCAGTTCTCTTCAAAGGACAGGTGGGCGGTTTCATTTTCTAGTTTTCTCTGTTGGTTGATGCTCTGCTCCTCTTTCTCTTTGATTGTTGATATCAATGTAACAATCATTTCCTCAATTGTTTTTTTTCCAGATTTGTATAGTCTTATGAGCTCTTGGCTTTTATTTTCTGTAATGTATTTAGAGAAGAGGAGATCCCAAAGGGAAACCACTTGTCCTTGGAAATCACCCACATTTACTCTTGTTGTCGTAGACCTCAAAGTCTTCTTTATATTTTCATCCAAACTGAAGGCAATTGAAGTCTGATCCTGTATTTGAAGCATCATTAGTCCAGTTTCTGTGTCCTGAACACATCTCTTAAGCAACTGCATATACGTGAGGTTCTCGTGGGTGTTGGGGTCGAAGAAGCCCTTGGTGTCATCCGTGGGGTCTGAGAGAATTTGGTTCATTTTCTCATCAAAATAGCCCCGTTTGTAGGCCACCTCAACAGGGACACGATGGCTGTTGACTGGGTCAATTATGCCCCCCGTAGCAATCTGGGCTTCTAGCAGGCGGATGCCGTGCTCTTTGATGATCAGATCTTTCTTCATGGCCTGGAAAAGAGAGATCTTTTTCCCTGTGTTTGGATCAGTATATCCAGTGACAGCTTTCTCAGCACAAAGGAGCTTGTTGTGAATTTCTCCACCCACCAGCCTGGCAGAGATGGCCTCATCGACAGACAGTCTCTCATTCTTCAGGGGGTCAATGATGAACCCAGTGGCAGCTTGTGCTTCCAGCAGCACCAGAGCAGTGCCTGGCCTCAAGACATTCTTCCACATGGCCTGGTAGATGCTCATCTTCTCGGTCTTGGAAGGATCTGTCTTGGACGGCACAAGCACTCCAGCAATGCAGCTGGTGCCTTCCAGGTAGCGTCTCACCGAGTCGATCTTTGCCACGTCTTTTGCTGTCTGCTTTCCTTCCTCCAGGCTCTTCAGCGTCTCTTTACCTATTATTTCTGCTTTCAGTAGTTCCGAAGCTGTGACTTGTTTCCGTAGCCCTTGGAACCATATGTCTCTTCTATTTTCTTCTTTTTCTTTTATTATGCTCAGAATTTCATCTGTGATGTGCTGCAGAACAGCAGAAGATTCCAGTTTGTATTTTTTAATCAGCTCGTTCCTCTTCTCTTCAGTGAAGTAGCTTGAAGTAAGAAGGTCCCACAGAGACACAATCTGGCCCCTGAATTTCCCAAGTGTTACATTTACTTTGGTGGATGAAAGTATATTTTTTGTTATTTCATCTACATAGAAATAGTCCCTCTTGCTCAGCAGCTGTAGGAGGTACACCCCTGTCTCTTTGGTGCACCTGTGCAATAGTTGGGCGTAGGTAATCCTTTCCTGGGTGTTGGGATCCACAAATCCTTTGGTAGCATATTTTGGATCAGAAAGCCGGAGGTAAGTGCCCTCATCCAAACACTCCCGTTTGTAAGCCACTTCCACAGGGATGCGGTGACCATGCAGAGGGTCAATGATGCCGCCAGTTGCAATCTGGGCCTCCAAAAGCCTGAGAGCAAGTTCTTTCTCTACGATGCTTTTTTTCATGGCTTGGAAGAGAGATATTTTGTTCCCTGTGGAAGGGTCAGTGTAGCCAGTAACGGCTTTCTCTGCAGAAAGAAGTTTCTCTCGAAGGTCTTCACCCACAAGCCTCACAGAGATCGCTTGGTCAACGGAGAATGTCTTCTTCTTCAATGGGTCGATGATGAATCCGGTGGCAGCCTGTGCTTCCAGCAACATCAGACCATGTTCTGGGGACAGGACCCCTTTCTTCATGGCTTCATAGATGGTCATCTTCTGCCCTTTGGCTGCTAAGACTCCGGCGATGCAGCCTGTTCCCTCCAGGTATCGCTTCACTGAGTCCTTCTGGGCAAGTTGCTGAAGGGCACCAGGCCCCTGCTGAAGCCCATCCAGGGTCTTCTTATCAATGATCTCAGAGTTGAACAGCTCTGCCGCTGACACGTCCCCCCTTGGTCCCTTCACCTTGAGGGCCTGCATCTGCTGCTCCGTTTCCTCGATGATAGCAGTGATGGCTTTGCTGAGTTGTTCCAGGGTCAGACCCTCAAACTTGTACTGGCGCACCAGCTCTTTCCTTCTCTGTTCTTGGATGTATGGGGAGCAAAGGAGGTCCCACATGGAGATGGTTTGGCCTTTGTACCTGCCAATGTGCATCTGCATCGGTTGTGCTTGCAAGAACTTTTTGGTTGCCTCGTTGATGTAAAAGTACCTTCCACCCCTTTTGACTATTTGCAGCATGTACAGTCCAGTCTCTGGATCTTGGGTGCATCGTTCTAGAAGCTGCAAGTAGGTGAGATTCTCGTGGGTGTTGGGGTCAAAAAAGCCTTTGGTATCATCTGTGGGGTCCAAAAGGACCTGGTTCAGTTTTTCATCAAAGTAGCCTCGTTTGTAAGCTACTTCTACGGGGATGCGGTGGCTGTGAACAGGGTCAATGATGCCCCCCGTGGCTATCTGGGCCTCAAGGAGACGAATGCCATGGCTTTTCACAATGAGCCCTTCGTTCATGGCCTCAAAGAGGGAGACCTGTTCTTTTGTGTAGGGGTGTGTGTATCCTGTCACAGCTTTTTCTGCACTCAGCAGCTTCTCGTAAATCTCTCTTCCAATCAGCCCGCCTGCCAGCGCTTCGTCTACTGACAACTTCTTGTTTCTCACTGGGTCAAGGAGGAAGCCAGTGGCAGCCTGGGCTTCCAGCAGCACCAGAGCTGCTCCTGGCCGGAGGAGACTCTGCCTCATGGCCTGGTAGATGCTCAGCCTCTCCTGGCTTGGCTGTAGAAGGACTCCAGCGATGAAGTTGCAGCCCTCAAGGTATCGGCTGACTGAATCCATCTTGGTGACTTCCTGGACAGTTTTCTTCCCCTCTCTCAGTTTGTCCAGAGTTTCCTTGTCTATGAGCTCCGACTGGAAGAGGTCGCTGGCTGACACCTGCTTGCGCAGGCCCTTGAAAGTGAACCTCTTGCTCTGCTGATCGGTGTCTTCGATGACCTTGGAGGCAGCCACTGCAATCTCATCAAGGATCTCAGCGTTCCCCTCTTTGTAGGCTGCCACCAGCTCTCTCCGCTTGCTGTGGGTGATGTACTCAGAGTGGAGTAAGTCCCAGAGAGAAGCCTCTTGGCCTTTAAACCGCCCAATGTGGACACCGACAGTGACAGATTTCAGCACTTCCATGGTCTGCTGATCCGCATAGAAAGTGGCCTCTTCCGAGAGAGGAAGCAGCAAGTGTCCTGTCTCGGCATCCCGGACGCACCTCTCCTTCAGCTGCTGGTAGGTCAGGCTTTCCTGTGTGTTGGGGTCAAAGAAGACGCAGGTGTCGTCACTCTGCTGAGAAAGGGTCTTGTGCATTTCCTCATCGTAGAAGTTGTGCTTGTAGGCCGCTTGGAGAGGAAGGTGGAGGTGGTGGATGGGATCGATGACCCCTCCAGTGGCCAGCTGTGCCTCAAGCAAGGGGATGCCAGCCGTGGTGGAGATCAGCTCCTTCCGGATTGCCTGATACACTGAGATGGGCTTCCCTGAGTAGGGGTCAGGATAGCCTGTCAGGGCCCTCTCAGCCTGCAGTAGCTGCTCCACAAGTTCTTCACCCACAATGCCAGCTTTGATGGCCTCTTCTGCTCCAAGCCTCTGGTTGGTCACGGGGTCCATGATGGATCCTGTCGCTGCCTGGGCTTCCAGAAGCCTTGCCCCTGTGCCTGGGAGAAGGAGGCTCTTCTGCATAGCTTGGTAAATGCTCATTTTCTCATTGGAGGCCTGAATGAAGACTCCAGCGATGCTTCCAGTGCCCTGCAAGTATTTCTTCACACTGTCCATCTCAGACACTTCTCTGGCTGTCTTCCTGCCCTGAGCCAGCTCTCTGAATATCTTTTCCGAAATGATGCCAGTATCCAGAAGCCAGACTGCGGGAACTGCACCTCTCAGGCCTTGGAAAGTGACCTGGCTTTGAGCCTTCAGTTCCATTTCCTTGATGAGTTCCTGGACAAGGGTGACCAGCTCCTGTAGTGATATTGCCTCAGACCGATACTTCTCCAGGAAGTCTCTTCTCTGCTCCTCCGTGAAGTAGCCAGAGTTCAGGAGCTCCCAGAGGGAGACCCTTTTGCCCTGCACATAGGTCTCCCTGAAGAGCTGCTTGATCTGCTCATCTGTGGTGGCAGGAGAAGCTGCTTGCGGCAGAGGTAGCAGGTGGACTCCAGAGGCTTCATCCTTCTGACACTGATCTATCAGCTGACTGTAGGTCACCATCTCCTTTCTGTCCAGAGTGCTGAAAGTTTTGGCACCACTGCTTGGGTTGGAAAGTGTTTTGCTGAAGTCCTCATCCAAGTAACCTTTTTTCTGGGCAAATTCTACTGGGACATAATGTCCGCAGTGCGGATCAATGACGCCCCCCGTTGACAGCTGGGCATCCATCAGCTGCCTGGCTTGTTTGTCAGCCACGAGGCCCTTCTTCATGGCTTGGAAGAGGGAGATCTTCTTGCCTGTGAAAGGATCCTTGTAGCCAGTGACAGCCTCTTCTGCCCGTTGGAGTTTCTCATAGAGCTCGGGGCCAACAAGGCCTTCCTTCACAGCCTCATCCAGGCCCAGTTTTTTATTCTTCACTGGGTCAACGATGAAGCCAGTGGCTGCCTGTGCCTCAAGCAAGGGCACAGCTACCCCTGGCACCACAATGTTCCTCTTCATGGCTTCGTAGAGACTCACTCGTTCGTTGGAGGGCTGCAGCACGATGCCTCCGATGCTTCCAGTGCCATAGAGGTATTTCCGGACAGAGCCCATGCGCAGAACCTCCTCTGGGCTCACAGCTCCCTCCAGCAACCTTTCAAAGAGGGTCCTGTCGATTATGCCCATCTCCATCAGGTGGTAGGCAGTGACGCGGCCCCTTATGGCTGGGAACTGGATGCAGGCCCATTTCTTCATCTCCTCCTCCAACATGAGCCGGATTTTCTCCAGGGTGACCTTCTGCAGGCAGTAATGGTTGAATATTTCCCTCCTCTTTCCCTCGCTGAAGTACTCGGAGTTCAGCAAATCCCACAGGGAGAGCCTTTGCCCTTGGAAGCGCCCGTATTTCACAAAGACCGAGGAGCCCCTGAACGCTTGCTTGGTGGTCTCGTCAATGAAGCGTGGCTTCTTGCTGTTCAGCGGCAGGAGGCAGAGGGAGGTTGAGGGCTCTATGATGCACTTCTCCTTCAGCTGCAGGTAGGTCAGGTTCTCATGGGTGTTTGGGTCAAAGAAGCCCTTGGTGTCATCACTGGGGTCCGAGAGAATCAGGTTCATCTTTTTGTCAAAGTAGCCCCGTTTGTAGGCAACTTCCACAGGCAGGCGGTGGCTGTTGACGGGGTCGATGATGCCCCCCGTCGCTATCTGTGCTTCCAGCAGGCGGATGGCATGGTCCCTGATGATCAGATCCTTCATCATAGCCTGGAAGAGGGAGATCTTTTCTCCTGTGTAAGGATCCCTGTAGCCAGTGACAGCTTTCTCGGCAGTCAGGAGCTTGTCGTAAACATCTGGGCCAATTACGTTGGCCTTCAGGGCCTCGTCCACAGAGTATTTCTTGTTGGCTGCAGGGTCAATGATGTAGCCTGTGGCAGCCTGAGCCTCCAGGAGGATGAGGGAGGTGCCTGGCCGCAGGAAGCCTTTCCTCTTTGCTTGGTAGATGCTGATCTTCTCCTGGGAGTCGGGCAGGAGAAGCCCACTGATGCTGCCCGTCCCTTCCAGATACTTCTTCACCGTGCCCATGCTGACAACATCTTTGGCCAAGGTCTCCCCTTGGGTCAGCTTCTCAAACAAATTCTTGTTGATGATGTCTGAGCTCAGAAGCTGGGCGGGCGTCACCTTGTCCCTCAAGCCCTCAAAGGTGACTCTGGAGTTGGCAACGGCTTGCTGGATGGTGTGAGAGACTTTGTCAGCCATTTGCCGAGCGGAAAGGCGCCTAGAGAGGTACTGCTGGATGAGGTCTGTCCTCTGCTCTCCTGTAAAGTAGTCTGAGAAGAGGAGCTTCCAGAGTGAAACGTGCTTCCCCTTGAATTTCCCACAGGACACAGACACAGCCATGTTCTCCAGAGCAGACTTTGTGTTGTGGTTAATGAAGGAGTGCTCCCTTCCATGGCCTCCTGAGAGAGGCAAGAGGCAGAGACCCGTGTCTGGATCTGTGACGCATCTCAAGAGCAGTTCTGCATAGGACAATTTCTCCCTGGAGTTGGGCTCAAAGAACCCACGGATCTCATCTGTGGGATTGCAGAGGAGGCTCTCTGTGTCCTTGTCTAAGTGGCCCCGCTGACAGGCCATCTCCACAGGAAGCCGGTGATGCGTGTGGGGGTCGACGATGCCTCCAGTGGCAAACTGGGCATCCAGCAGGAAAATGCCAGGGTCCCTGGGCACAAGGCCCTTCTTCATGGCTTGAAACAGAGAGACCGTCTCGCCAGTGAAGGGGTCTTTGTACCCTGTGACTGCTTTCTCTGCTGAAGACAGTTTCTGATGGAGCTCTGGCCCAACAACTCCTGCGCGGATGGCAGCATCGGCCGTGAACTTCTCGTTCCTTACAGGGTCTATCAAGCACCCTGTGGCAGCCTGGGCCTGCAGGAGAATCACAGCTGTGCCTGGCACTAGGAGGTGCTCCGCTAAGGCCTGGTACAGACTCTTGCATTCATTGGTGTGCAGCAGCGCCACACCGGCAATGCTCTTTGTCCCAGAGAGGTACCCCTGAACAGAGTCCATCTCCGCCACTTCCTGCGCCGTGAGCTCCCCGTCATGGAGGGCTTTGAACATGTCTGAGTCAATGATTCCAGCATCCAGGAGCTCATGGCTGCACACAGACCCTCTCAGCCCAGGAAAGGAGATTTTCAGTGGCAGCAAGAGCAGGCCTCTGGTGTGGTCACAAATGCACCTTCTCATCAGCTCCGTGTAGGTGACCTTCTGGTTGTTGTTTGGGTCCAAGAAGCCCTTGGCCTCCTCGTTCTCAGGGTCAGAGAGGAAGTTGCTTAGTTTCTCATCAAGGTAGCCCTTCTCATAAGCCTCTTGCGGAGGGATGCGGTGGCCTGTGGCTGGCTCAATGGTGCCCCCAGTGGCTAACTGGGCCTCCAGCAGATACAGGCCCTGTTCCCTTCCAAGGAGCTCTTTCTGCAAGGCTTGGTAGAGGGAGATCTTCTCCTCTGTATAAGGGTCTGTGAAGCCCTTTGCTGCTCGCTCTGCGCAGAGCAGCTTCTCCTTCATCTCCAGCCCTGCCAGTCCCATCTCCAGGGCCTCTGCCACAGAAACCAGCCGCTTTCCCGCAAGGTCAACGATGCCACCAGTGGCTGCCTGGGCCTCCAAGAGAGCTGATGCAACGTCAGGCTGCAGCAAGTGATGCTGGACAGCTTCATTGAGGCTCATCGTCTTGCCAGAAGCGGCCTCCACGTAGACTCCGGCAACGCTCTTGATGTGTGGGTCTGCCTTGGGTGCTGCGGAGGTGCTGCTGGGGGAGATGTAGCCCCCTGGCATGGCTGCTGACCCTGCTGGCCCCCGGGTCCCTGGGCCCCTGGCCTCCATGCTGTTTGTGCAGTTGTTCTGAGTCTCCCGCTCCTGGCGCAAGCAGGCGACTCTTCTGCTCCCTTTGCGGGTGGCAAGCGGGTCTCTGCAAGGAGAGGAAAGAAAGGAAACAGTCAGTTGTCATGAAGAGCAGAAACCTTTTCTCTTTCACTTTCCCCCTGCTAGGCATCCTCTTATAAACTTCTGTTGTGCCACTTCTTGCTCTAAACTTCTTTTCTCTAAACTAGTAAGTCCCCAGTGCTGCAAACCTTCTTCACAGAGGAGTCGCTAAAACTCAGTCATTTTGGTGGCCCTTTTCTGAACCTTTTCCAACTCTACAATATCCTTTTCATGATGCGGTGACCAGACCTGCACACAGTACTCCAAATATGGTTGCCTCATAGATTTGTATAATGGCATTATGAGACTGGCAGTTTCATTTTCAATTCCTTTCCTAAGGATTGCTGGCATGGAATTCCACTCTTGATGCAACCTGAAACCTGACTGGCACCTGCAAAGTGTCCTTGGAATGCACCTTCTACCTTCACACACATTCCCACGGGGGAGACACAAGGGGAAACTTCCAAAATACTCCCTGATAATTGAGGAGAGAAAGAAACAGATTTTAAAAGTGATTCCTCACAACTGTGCACGTCTGCTTTTCCGGTTGTAAGGACACTCCCAGCAATTACGAGCGATAATGGAGCAATGTTACAACACACCACAAGCAAAAGCTTGGCATGAAAACCAAAACCCTGGTAATAAAAGAGAAAGCAGGAATAAAAAGGCAGAGATTGCAGGAGGGGCCCATGTGGTGTGTGCAGAACCCACACAGTCCAGTAATGGGAAGCTGGCCTGGGGAGGCCCTCTGCGCTTTGGGCTGGGCCAGTCCCTCTGGAGGATTTGACAGGTGAGATCTTCCTTGGGTACACGGAGTCACTGCACCAGAAACCTGCCCTCAAATAAAGCTGGAACGGAGCCCTTGTCAAGGCCAAGCGGAATAATGATCAGCCACAGCGTATTATCTCACCCCCTGTTGCTTCATGAGCTCTCTGTCCCCTCTCAGCCTGGCTGGGGTGGGAAGGAGCAGAGTGGTGAAGGAAGCCCAGACAGGTTTGGCATCCTCCTGAGCCCAGCCCCAGCCGCTTTCAACTTCCCCGCTCCTCTTACATTCTGAGCATTTGCCAAGGTTGAGCAACAAAGGAGGGAGACAAGCCCAGGCGACCCACTTGCCTCTCCCCTCCCCAGCCCAGCCCTGTTCCTCCTGGTGGCAGATAATCCCCATCTGCGCTTGGCTTGCACGGAGCCTGGAATGCAGGAGGGGTCAGGGAGGGGGGCACGCAGAGAAGGGGGGACACAGCACCCGGCTGCTGGCTCTGATACTGCCGGCCGCCATGGGTGCAACCCACACTAGCCCTGGGAGCAGCCCAACGTCATGGAAAAAAGACAGAAACTGGTGGCAGGCCAGGCCTTGAGGGCAGCCAGAGCCTAGCCAAGCGAGAGGCTCACCGGTCTTATCTCAGGACTCCTGCGCGGGGCCAGCTTGCCTGTGCGTTTTACAAAAAGTAGAAACAATGTGTAAAACTTGAGCAGTTGCTGCTGAAGCTGGTGGCTTTAGAGGTCCTGAAGCCTAGTGGTTAGAGAGGTGCAAGGGAGGCCCTTCCCCTCCCTGCCTCCGTAGCAAAATGCTCTTGGGGGGCAGCTGCAGTGGAAGGCATGGCAGGGGAGGCCCCTGTAAATGGGGGGGGGTGTTTAGGATGTGGTGCCCTCAGGGCTAGACTTCGTGGTCCAAGCCTGGGGCCCCACAACCTAGGCGTGGGGAAGAAACACCCACTAGGAGCAGGCAGTAGGTGACAGTGGCCGCCTGGCAGAGCATCAGTGCTCAGCGTGGGCACGTTAGGACTGATGCCCGTTGTCACAGCATCCCTTTTTCTTTCCTGAAGAAGCCAGCTCCTGCCATCTTGGTTTCTCCAGGAGTGCCCCTCCCTCTCAGGGACTGAGCATGGCGGGGGGGGGGGCAGCTGCAGCCAGCTGCTACCTGGCTCCACGGTGGGCTTTCCAGAGCGAAATGGTTTGGGTCTTAAAGGAAAGGAAAGAATGCCTTCCTGATGCTGCCTGCTTCCCTCCAGACGGCTGCTTCTCAGGTGTGCAAATGGCCTTGAGAATGTGGCTTGCCCCCCCCTGTTTGCTTCCTTGCCCCCCAGTTCCTGAGTGCACCAGAGAGCTGCCTGGGCTCTACAGGGACTTGGGAGCCACCCTGTCGACAGCCATTTGCAGCTCACTTTCCCACAGTGGGACCCCGGAGCACCCGAGGGCTCCAGACATCTCCAGCGTCGGATTCTTGAGCTGCGGTTCCGGCATTGCAGGGGGTTGGACTAGATGACCCCTGGAGGTGCCTTACAACTCTACAGTTTTATTATTCTTTTAACCTATGATTTCCACACCACTTCACAATCTCAAAGGAACCTCGAAGTGGTTTACAACCTACCTTAAATAATTTGTAAAATTTCAAATGCTGCAAATGAGAATCAGACACAAGCGCAATAAGGAAGTGCAATAAAGCCTCTTTATAAATAACATTAGCAACTATAAATGAAATAATAATAATAGTAATAATAATAATATTATATTATTATTATTATTATTATTATTATTATTATTATTATTATTATACCCCACCCTCCCCAGCCAGAGCCGGGCTCAGGGCGGCTAACACCAATAAAATCACAGTAAAAACATAATAGGGAAAAGAAAAGAAAAAAACCAATTTAAAATACAGGTTAAAATGCAATTTAAAATATAGCCTCATTTTAAAAATGCATGAAACAGATGTTGTGCCCACAGTTCCTCCCCACAAATAGCAGCCTTGGCTGTGGATGGGCTGTGGCCTTCAAAGAGAGTGGCTGTGAATCGTAAATCTGTGAGGGGCAAACTGCAGAGCCCAGGATGCTTTGAGGGGGAAATGTGCTCCGCAAGTGCTTCAAAGGGATCTGGTGTGCAGGCAGAGGACTGGACTTCCAAGCAGCAACTGAGGCCTCACAGGAAGAACAAGAGAGCCAGAGCCCTTGCCTCCTCCTCCCAGCCAGGTGGGGGCCAGGCTCACTCCCCCTCCCCCCAGGGGCGTTAAGCAAGTTCAGAACCCTCCAATCATTAACCTTTATTGATTGGCTTTATTTGCATTTTGCATGTAAGCCACTTTGGGAGGGTTTTGACCCTGAAAGGCAGCCCAAAAGTCCTGGTAACAAATACTTCTAATAGGTAGGCAGATGAAGGTGATGGACTACATGGAACTGGCGGAAATGACCGGCAGAATCCGAGACCAGGGAGAAGAGTCAGTGGAAGAAGATTGGAAGAAATTTAAGGACTACCTACAGAAACATTGTAAAATTAATGAATGTTAGAATGATGTTGGATGAAAAGTTATGTGGTTTTTAGCTACAACGCTATAAGGAGTAGGAAAAAATGGACTATTAACAGGCAAAAATTTAATGTTACATTATTTTAAGATTAAAGATTAGGATAAATAAAGAGGGAAAGGATTTGCTGAACTAACAAATTGAACGGAAATACAAAAAGGGAGGTGTGAGGAGGTCCGGGAAACAAGCAAATGAAAGATAAGTGATTGAAAGATGGAATTGTTTTTTTAAACTATTTTCATTTTGTGTTTTTCTTTTTTTTTGTTTTTCATTTTGTAAAATTCTAATAAATATCTTTTTTTAAAAAAACAAATACTTCTAATAGGTAAACAGTTCAGCCAGTGTGGCCAGCAGTGGGCTTTGCTGGGATCGCCCCAAGGGGCTGAGGGTGGTCTGAGCTGCCCTTGGCAAGGCAGGATTGCATCCAGCCCCCTCAGACCAGAGCAAAGGCACGAAGTTAGAACTTAAAGGAAATGCAGAACTGAAGAGTTCCTGTCCAGCTGTAACTCCACTGCAAAATGGGGCTGAGGCATCATTCACACACCTCAAATATTTGCATGAGCTCCCTCCACCACCCCCCCCAAATAGGCTCATGCCTTTTTCAAGTTAGAGGGGAGAGAGTTTTGCATGGAGCGTCTTTAAGACAGCCATGCGCAGAGCAAGCTCAGCACCAAGTCCCTTAACATTTCACTCTTCAGCACAGCACAGTCTAGAAATAGCTGCCTCTCACATCTCTCCGGAAATTCTGAGGGAAGAAAAATGAAATCAGCCTGTGCTTCTGGTGTGTTGAACTTTTAAATAACTATGTTTGGTTGTAAAATAATAATAATAATTCCTAGGAACTGTCATTTGTTAAGGGTGCTAGGAATTACAGCTCTGGGGTAAGCAACAATTCCCAGTATTTTTAGGGGTGGAAATGTACTTTAAATGTGTGATGTGTACACAGCCACAATCCTGAAAAGGATGGGAATGTGGAGGTAAGGGACAGAAACCTGTAATTCAGCTGAAATACATGCTGTTAATATTGGGTGGAGACAGATGAAGACTAATTGCATGCTTTAAAAGGCGGGTGTTATCTCATCATTTGTGAACCGTAAAGGTAATGTATAATTCACTTAATTGATGCTGTGCTCCTAATGGGTCCTGATATGAGCCTCTGAGGCTGGGAATGGCAGACTCTGCCAGGGTTAAACACTGTCCTGGCCACAGCAGGGTCTTCCTTTTACCACCAATGGCCACCCAGGGAGCAAAGACGGGCGACACCAGACACTAGTCTCTACCATTCTGTGGTTCTGTGATCAGTTGAAAGCCGACACTGGGCAGTTCCACAGGACCCCAAACAACGCACCACGTGCAGCTCTCCCACCCCATAACGCAACTCTGTACAAAGCCACTCCCCATCAGATGAGTGAAAGCAGCAAGGAAGCCTCTTGGAATGGTGGCCAGGATTCGCAAAACTCCAACCCCAAATGCCATTCATGGACATCCAGAACTTCAAGAAGTCTTATGCTATGTTGGATTTTGCAGTTCTTCAGAGGGGAGTTGGAAGAACTTTGCAGACTGTGAATGACTGAGTGAACCAGAAGGCCTAATCACAAAAGGGAAGTGCATTGTTGCAGCACAACAAATGAGGACAGAGATCCTAGATCTAGAACTTATCTAGACCAGAACTCATCCATCCACCAAG